TGTGTGTGTGTGTGTGTGTGTGTGTGTGTGTGTGTGTGTGTGTGTGTGTGTGTGTGTGTGTGTGTGTGAGGATGAATATTCATGAGCTCTTGTGGTTAATTTGTCGGCTGTTTGTTAAAACCAGAAAGACACAAGATGTTCTTGCTCGCCTTTCACCAAAACCTGCCTCACGCAGTGTGTGTGTCTGTGTTATATGTGAGTGTGTGTTGGCTGGTAAATGCCAGCACAGGCACTGATCCACAGCAATTTGCCTTCTGTCCGCTCTGTTTACGATGAGTGTGTGTGTGTGTGTGTGGGTAGTTGCCAGATGTGACAGCTAATATGTCGGCATTTGTGTTGACAGGAAACTAATTTGCTCTTCACTCCAACAGGAGACAAAGATCGACTGTGTGCGAGTGGCCACTAAAGGTAAGAGCCTGCATTTTACTTTGAAATTTATTCAGTACCAGTTGGACCCTTTTCATTTTATTTTGAAAAATTATAATCAGAAAAATTCTGTATGTACCTTTTCATTAGCTGCATGTGAAAGGTAAATGTGCAAGGTCTTATTTTGAAAATGGTTATAGACATTTGATTAAAGGTACAAATGTAATTTTTTTTTTGAAAGTTTATGTTGTTAAATGTGAAATTCTACAAAATGATGTTGGTGGCAGTACAGTTTAATTTGAAAGGTTATAGAATACATTTTAGTGAACACAAGGTCCCATTTCTATAAGATTCGTAAAAGTCTTCCTTAATATTTATTTTGAAAGGTAGTTTGTATCATTTTATTTTGAAAAGTGTGTAGTTGTTGGAGTTGTAGGCTAATGGTTCTAGAAGTATAATGGCTCACAGATGGCTGCTTGTCCCTGACACCTATCCTCCAATCAGAGGAGGACCATGGACTCATGTCCTCGACACACACACACACACACACACACACACACACACACACACACACACACACACACACACACACACACACACACGCACAGAGAGAGAGCTCTGTGCTACGCTAATATCAGGCTAAACCCAGGCTAATGACGGGGCCTGTATGGGTGTCCAGAGAGCACAGCACAGCTAAACAAAAACACTGTTATCTCCCCTGATGGACATCCAGGATCAACCACACACACACACACACACACACACACACACACACACACACACACACACACACACACACACACACACACACACAGTAATCGACTGTTCTGGCTTTAATCAGAGCTCGTGTTTCTGCTGGCTAACAACAGGATATGCTGATTGGCTCTGTCGGTCCCTACGTACCTGTCAGTCATACTTTAGTGGCCAACCCCAGGGGGTAGGACACCCACCCCCCACCCACCATATTGCCTTTTAGAGTACCCATGATGCCTTGCAGCACTAACAGAGCTGCTGTGATGTGAACGGCTGCTGAATGTTAAAACACACCGAGACAGCAGAAAGTAAAGGTGTAAAATGAAACATGATACCGCCTCTGTGAGCGTGTGAAGCAGGCGTGACGTTTAAATGCAGCCAGACAGAAAAAAGACTCACTTCCTTCCATCTCTGCACACGATCAACTCCACCTTATTTCAAAAGAACAAAGGAGAAATGCTGCACCCTCAATTATGAAGCGTGTGGAGAGAAACGCACATTTGAGCTGACATTCAGCCTCACGTTAATGATGATTTTTATTGCAGTAATAACTTGATGTTTCATCAGCAATAACCAAAAATGCTCAGAAAAATACATACATGAGAGAAAATATCAATGTGTCAATAATAACAGCACGAAGAAAAACACAGGTTAAAACTCCTGTTTTATCACACCTGTACCGCACCTCGGGTTAGCGGTTGATCTTTGGACTTCATGCTTGCTGTCTCTGATATCAAACAGGGACAGGATTATGTTTGTGGACACCTCAGATTGTGAATCCAGTAATTGAGAACGAGGTGATGCAGGAGCTTCACGTCGGTGCCGCAGGTGCATCTGCTGAAACTCTGTGACGAGTTTGACTCTGAGCTAAATCGGAGTCAGAGTAAGTTTTCTGGAGAACGAGACGACGTAGGATTTTGAACCTGATATCGTGGGTGTGTCCACCAGGAGCCTGAGCGGCGGTGCTGGAGGTTACAGTTTTTTTTTGTTTTTGTCTTTTATGATTGGTTATCGTGCACATGAATCCCGTTTACACTCTTTGTTCTGTCCTTCATAATCACTGACTTTATTGTCGATGAGTCATATAAGCAGTTCTTTGGCCTGCATGCAGGAGCTGTTCTCAGTCAAATATAAACCAGCATCATTTTTTGGACCTGATTAGTGTCCAGTATAAAACCATTCATGGCCCAGCAGAGACCCTTCACTAAGTCAGACTCAACATTCATGATCTGTATGCGCTGACTGATCGCCATGGTAACACCGTGAGTATATGTATATACACTGATTGATCCTTTTTTAATAAACACATTTTTTCTAACTGACCTCTGTGAGTGCGATGAACACATGGTTAGGAGATTCCTGTTCTTTCTCTGCTTCTGCTGCTTGATTGATTGATTAATAACATCTGATCACTGATTGGCTGATTAACGAGCTTCTCTTCCAGGTATGTTTAGGTGAACAGCGCTCTGCTCTCCTCTGTTTGGCTCACAGTTCAGTTTAAATCAGTTTGGACTGAAAAAGAAGACTAACAGGGGTTTGCTGCAGTAAATCAATACTGATCTATAATCAATAGGCAGCGAATCAGTCAGACCTCAGCAGAAGAAAGGTCGTGTCTTCAGGTACACCCAGTTTATGATTGGTCACCTGTACAGGAAGGAAATAGGTGATGTCATTCTGGGAAGGTCAGAGTGTTTCCATAGCAACCAAATGTCGTCTCTTAGTAACCCCGATCAACAGTTACAGTTCAACATTAACCTTTTATTAAAGCCTCTTAAAACAAACACTAGCTTTTTTATGTAGGATTTTATATTTCCATAGTCAGGTGAAGTGTTTTGGATGGCTGTGGCTTACAGAAGTCCACGAGGAAGACTGCTGACCTCACAGCTGTCCAGATGATGATGATCAGCATCCTGCAGGAGGGTGAATGCACAGAAGGTCACCGCTAAAAAGGTCGACTGTTCTCACAGGGGTGGGAGTGGAAAGTTCACCGGGAGGGAACAGTGGAGGAAAAGGTGCACAGACAGCAGAGGACTGTGAAGAAAAGTCCACTTGAGAACTTTCAACAAGCATCCGCAATTGCCAGGTGAAGAGGAAGGAGCTCCAGCCCTGGTACCAGAGACAATGAACCTCTCACTGGGCTGATCAGCAGGAGAACTGCTTTGAACTCGGTGCAGGAGTCTGGAGGAGGAGGGCAGAGACTCAGGTTCAGGTCAGAGCCAGGTGTTACAGCACTTCATGCTTCTGTCTGCTGAGAGCTTTTTTTTGCTCACCACCTGACCAGGTTGTTACTGTTTCACCCAAATCTCAGAGAAACCTCTGACCCAAAGATCCCGGTGAGCTAAAGGCCTCCATCAGAGCAGCGTGAGCTTCCGCAACTTCAAAGAATTTAAGGGAAGCACTCACAGATGGGACACCAACCAAAGCAGTGAAAGTTATGTGAATGTGATGGACAGAGCCGCTGTCCTCGCGGCTTCAGGCAGGACGTGGAGCTGCTCGGCTCGAGCTCAGCTGCAAGCGGAGCGACGCCGATCAGCAGTTTAAAGCTGCCACCAAGAGTTCTTCACACGATCAGAGCATTCAAGTGACTTTATTTAAACCCAGATGAGTGCAGCGTTTCCTGCTTTATTGATAACAATGATAATGATAATAATGAGACAGCAGGTGGAAGCACTGGGTCAAAATAAGGAGACGACTCGAGTCACAAACGCTGAGTGCTGTGTGCTGTGTTAGCATTGTGTTAGCGCTGTGTTAGCGCTGTGTTAGCATTGTGTTAGCGCTGTGCTGTGACAGGAGAGCAGGGCGCTGTGTGTTACTAATGTTTCTGCTGCAGTACAGACCTGCCATCTCTCTCTCTCTCTCTGTCTGTCTGCATGCCTTCCTGGATGAATAGCCGCTATAATCGTCACCCAGCTCACCACGCCCTACATTCGCATCGCCCCGGCAGCAGGCGACAAGCAGCTAACAGGTCAGCACACACACGCTGCACACACACAGACTCACACTGACTGGAATCTCTGGCTTTAATGGCTTTATTGGATTAATAATTTCTAATAAGAGAGGCGCTCATGTCTGTGGAGCTCAAACATGACTGAACAGGAAATGATGTTGTGATCTTTCTGACTGTTTGGCCTGTGACGCGTCACACTCGGCACGAATCAAAGTAAAATAAATGACCCCGAAACACATCTGAACAAAGATGGAGGTGACTCTGTCATCGTTTGATTTGCAGTTATAGAGATTGACAGACCACGTGACTTTCGCTCATTGCATGCCGGTAACTCATGGCAAAACAATCCAAGTACCGCATCAAATGCAAGCATTTGCAGCACCGCAAAACGTTCATTCTTCGGTTCCAATAAATTCTTGCTTTTTCTTTGCCCCCCAAAAAGGTTCTGTACAAAACAAAGGAGAACAATGCCGGTCCGTACAAAGACAGACTTAATGAAAAGTCAAAGAAAAGATACGAGGAAAAAAATCTAACCAGTGAAAGTGTTAGATCCTTACGAGCACACAGAGGGAGAAAAGACGTCAGCGTGCTGCCCAACTTCACCACGCTCATATTTATAATTATACGGTTCTTGGAGTGAGTGCATACACTCATGAAGTTTAGTAACTTCAGGTCACTGCAACAAGCCCAGGTACAGTTTACCGACGGATGGGTAAAGGACCTTGAAATGCACCGTGTAGAAAGTAAAGACCATCGTACATATCATAAGTTTACCAGTCTCACAAATCGTCTTCATAAATACACATTCGTTAACCGTTTATTAATAGGACCTTTGAGCTCAATGGTAATTAATTAGTAGTAGAAATAATTTCTGGTTCATCACAGAAATGTAGCAGTGACAATAATACTGTATGCTGTAATCGTACTGGGCAATTAGTGATACAAAACAACTGTTTTATCCTGTGAATAAAAGTATATGTTTTTGTCAATGTACCATAATAACAGAAGCCAAACGCAATATTGTGTCAGGACAATTCACTATTTATGCACAATAAACAAAGGAGCATAGCGCCACAATTTCTGTTCAGCGTCAGACTTGCTTGTAACCTATATCACCAATTATGTTAAGAAAAATGACGCATTAACTACAACAGCAGACTGACCTTTGTGTAAATGCTTGGAGCAGACTAACCTGTGAGCTGGAGTGTTCTGGGACGTTATGATTGGTCTTTGAATGACTGCAATCCAGTCGCCTCTTTGTTACTTCGGAAACATGGCTCGAACAATTTCTCTTCAACGATGTAATCCGATAACAACCGATCTCTTTACCCATCGGCTTTCCGTGGCTGTCATGCGACCGGCTATTGCAGTTAATAATACAACAGCTTCTTGCCATTTTTTGGGTTTCTTTTTATCGCTGTATAACTGATTTCAATTGAAAGCCTGCGTGCGCTAGTACCTCTTGCCACGAGTTCCCAGAATTCTTTGCGGTTTTACCCCTGAGTGACGTCACATTTTCAATCTCTATTCCCATCTTTAAAAATCTCAGATCAGCCCAAAAACTGTAGAATTGTGTTTCATAGTCAGTCCAGCAGAGGGCACCGAGCTAACAATGCAGCAGTTGATGACCGAACCCTGCTTGGATCTACTGCTGCCACCCAGCTGCAGGTCCGTCAGCTCAGGTCTCAGCTGAAGGTAACAGCACTTCCTATTCTCGTGTTAAGCATTCATGGAACCTCAGGGTCCTGCTAATCTATAACCGGAAGGTTGCCGGTTCGATCCCCCTGCTCTTTCTGTCCTGGTCATTGTGTCCTTGGGCAAGACACTTCACCTACCGCCTACTGGTGTTGG